TTTACACATCTGCTTCCACTGGAGTTTGAACTCAGTTCTGTACATCAACAATTCTGTATTTCGACAGTTCATGGGTGTACCAACTGAGCTAGGCCAGTCGATATATGCCTTCTTGTGGGACATTCCCAAAATAGGATTTTCTCGAAATAAATTGTCCGATCCGTCCAGGAAAGGTGTGCAGCGACTGAGTGTGCCCTGAGATGACCAGTCTGTGAAATGTTGCAATGGTCCCTCGTGGGAGGAGTGAGTGATGCATGCCATACGTGCGATATGTGCGATGTGTGCCAAGTGCCATGCATCCGCTTTAGATCTTTTACGTGTCATCCTTACAGAGTGGCCATGCTAATCTTGGCGATTGTCTCATCGCAGTTGAATGTCTCGGCCGAGGTCCGACTAGCATTCGAGTATAGTTTAGGGCCCAGAAGCAGTTGAGTCTAGTTTAGGGTAGTTGGTGTGCCATACAGTCTTTGGCAATCACGTGAAGACAGCCCACGTGGCTGAATGGTACACACATGATGTAACGGCGTTTCTTTTTTTTTTTGAAGAGTTTGAACCCACATGTAACTGTTAGGGGCCACCCCTTTGAATGAAAAAGAACAAAAAAAGGTGTTTTAACGGAAATGTGAAGGAACCTGAATGCTGATTTCTGCTGGTTGGCCGAAAATGGAAAATAAAATGTAAATGCTGTCATGAGTGGGCCAGAACTTTGGAAAAGCGGTCAGTACTGTCGAAAGGATTTGCCCCCCCTTCGTTCAGCCCCTAACTTCATTCTGTCCATCGGATGTGAGATCCCATTAGCAAAGCCATTTGGACAAGTTGAGCTCGGAGTGTGATGCATTGTATGCATTGACAAATAAGACCTTTGAACCCCCACCATTCCTTGAACCACCAGTACTTGCTAAAGTCGTGCCCGTTAACAAGCCATGATTTTAGGAAACGTGGAGAGATGGTTAACCGACCCCCCATTTTTCACCTCAGTTTATACGTACGGGCCAGTATCGGAGCGCCCAAATTCATCCGTCTAGAATCATTTCTACTGTATTTTTGTCCACGGCGGATCGCTGGGCCAAGTGCTGGTGGTTTAAATTGGTGACATGGGTGGAAAATTACAGCACTAGCCCCCTTTCCTTTGTACCCCCGTCACTCCTTAAACCACCAGTACTTGGCCGAGCTATCGTCCGCGGAAAAAATAGAGTAGAAACTTTTCTAGTTGGACGAAATTGGGCGCTCCTGTAGTGGCCCGTACGTTTCCTAAAATCGTGGCGCGTTAACGGTCACGATGCAAAATGACCGGGGCGACCACTTTTCAAATGGATTGGCGGCAAAGGACAGTTACAAACTTTCTTGGCTCTCAAGTCGTTCATTTCTTGCCATTTGAAGTTTGTGAACCCATTTTAAGTTTGTGAATTTCAGGAATAGGCTTGGATCGCACTGACTCAATTCGAGACTACACTACTCTTACCTGAAGAGTCAGATCTTGGTCCCAAAATGGGAAAGAGCACCTTCCTGATCCCAAATGCTGGTTTCTCCGGAAAATAGCCTGGGAACGGGTTGTTCGGAGATGGGCATGTGGGAGGAGGTCAGTCTGTGCCCAATGAAATAGCTGAAGCAACAACAGGAGCGGACAAGAGTTCTCTTGGATATGGGGCTGGGCAGGGGCTACCCCAAAATTAAGAGAACTCTTGGAGCCCAAACTCGCGAGCATCCTATGGTTTTCCGTGGGTACCTGCCTTCACTTTTGCGATCCCGAGCCAGAAAACAATGGGATTTGCCCGAAGCTGCCCAGAGTTGGCCAAGACTGCCAAAAAAAAGGCCAGTGGGATCCAAGCCTTATTCACATTGGGTAATCAGGAGGGAGATCCCACTAACGATGTATGTGGAGTAGTGTGACGGCTGCGGGATGTGGGGGCGACATGCGTGTGGTATCCTTTACTCTGCGATAAATGTTGAAAAAACAAAATGCCGCAATCCTGACAACGCAATGTTGTCCACCCGCCGCGAACTGCGGTCAGCTGTCAGGTTGTGGATCTTCTGATGATTCTGCTGGTATGTTGTGCATATGGGTGGTTCATGGACCATGTACATGAGGCCAACACACATTTGTTAACGTTCCCCAACAAGAGGCTTGGAATGGCAGACAAGTTGTGGAAGACTCTGACATCAACTGACATCCTTTCATGATGAGAAAAGGGGAACATCTTCATTTTCGGCCTCTTTTGAATGCATGGGCAATGACGCAAACGTAAGTGGAAGGTGTGTGAAAATCCAACCAGAAAAAGTTGGTATGATTTTCACGCACGTTCATGACCCCCAGAGGAGCACCACAACAAAAGCAAAAGAAATGCCACCCAATAGGAGCCCCCCAAAAGTCATACGTTTCCCCACGCCGAAAACCACGAAAAACAACACCACTGATCACCGCTCTCATGAACGGCGCCGAAGGGTCACACACCCTATCCGCTACTCCACATACATCGGTAGTGGGATCTCCCTCCAGATGTCAGAGCCCTCCTACAAAGGCGGAGGCTGTGTCAGCTGTCATCATTATCGTTGTTTTTTGGATCTTTTCTTTGCGGACAGCCTCGTGCAGAGCATGGACTTCTTGTTTGGAACAGCAGCCATAAGGTCATCCATGATCTGATCGAGGGGCTAGTTACTCCATATTTCGATGTTGATAATACTGGCCCACACCAGTCGCACTTGCCTACAATTGTCCGAACCATTTGCTATTAGCATACTTAAACCACCAGTACCTTTCCCATATATTGGCCGCGGGCAGAAAAAAAAGGCTCAAAACAGAAAACGGGCCGCCGATGAAATTCATCAACAGCGGCCTGATCCCACCCACTTGGCTTCCACGTAACTCGGCGCAGAATTGATTTTCAAGAGGGGAAAGGCACTGGTGCTTTAAAGTTTAAACTCGTGCCTTCATCATTCCTCTCTCTTCTCTCCCTCCTAGATGCCCACTGAAGTAGTGGAGTGTTATCTGGTTGCTCTGGTACATGCCTATGCAAAGAATAGGCATGGATGGCTAGCAGGCGTCCTCCATAGCCACTCAACTGTATCCCGGTCTTCAACTTCCTTCCACTGCCTCCTTAGATTTTTTTGCTGGCTCCCTGAAGGGCCTGAACTATCCCTAGCAGATGCAGAAGTCTTAAACCACCAGTGCTTTTCCCAGCCCATTTTCTCCCATGGAGCCGTGCACACCCTGCAACTTTCAGGGCTCAGCATACCAGAGCAAAATGGCTGGTGACGCCAACCAAAAGAGCACTCGCACCAGGTCTTTTTTTTTTTTTTTTTTTAATGGTGGAGATGACAGGCATCGATCCCGCTACAGTGCGAGCTGGTGTGATCGCTTTGCTCGCACCAGCTCTGTTTTTTTTTCGCGCACATGGGAAAATCTGCTTTGGCAAAAGGAAGCCTCCGAGTACTGGTGGTTGAACATCTTACCCTCCAAATCTTGAATCTGCTCGTCCATTGTGTCCAAAACTTTGCCTCTGGGATAACAGGCAGATACGGTCCACCGGAAAACCTTTAGGGTTCATCATGCCCAGAGTTTTCCAGTTGGCTACAGAGGGGCCATGGACATTTCAGGATGCTAACATCTGGCAGCGGTCATTCAGTCCGGTCGGCTCGACCTCGTTTGACTGGATTACAAACCTGGCTCTGTATTTGTGCCGTATTCATTGTTTTCTAGGCCCTTTGTACACAACTGTAAGACTTTGGGCGTGATTAACCCTAAGGGTTTTCCGGTGGGCCGTATGTACCCAACGGTTAGACTTTGAGCGTAAGGGTATTCCGGTGGGCCGTATCTACCTGCTATCCCTTTACCTTTTGTCCTTCTGTTGCCAAATTTCACTACTGTCCCTCAATGGTTGCCTTTCTGCTTGTAACTCCCACGGCGACACTAGAGTCATGTCGCCAATTTTGGTCACCCCGCGGTGAGCATCTCCTAGCATGACCGTAAAGGAAACATATAACCTGAGAGTGAGATCAGATCCCAACACCAAAAGGAAGCATTGAAGACTTAGGGAGTTTTCTCTCAGGCCTTTGATCAACAAGAAGTGAATTCCATCTTTTTCTGTGAAAGAGCTGTGCCCCCTGGCACCGGCTCTCCTGCGTGTCCAGGTGTACCCCCTATCATCTGGTTTGAGCACCCTATATAAGGGTCCAAAGAGGTTTTTGGCCTCTTTAGGCACTTTTTGGCCAAAAACCTCTTCAGGAATTGACCTTTTTGCCAAAGAACCTCTTTAAATTTGCACTTAGTCATGAATCATGAATCAACTAAGCGCGTATCCCTCCCTTGATCTGGTACTCGAAGTTCGAAGTTGGAGACGACACCTGAACCCGGAAAGAGTACGTATTAACCTCGACTTCAAGAGTTTTGACACCAGGCATGAAATTCAAATCTGAAGTCACTAAGCATTTTCACCTGAAGCTTGAGCCTGGAACATGTACCCATCACTGATAAAATTTATCTCAGGTGAAGTCAGTGCCAGCTGTAATGCGGAATCGCGGATACTGTTCACCCCATTCTCATCAATAAGACACTCATCAATAAGACACAGTGACAGTGAGGCTCTGTAATGTGGATTTCTTTGTAAAATATTGACATTCTTTTGTATGAAACTTCACAAGTTCACCTGTTATGATTGCATTAGTACTGAGATTCTTGCTTGAGTGGACAATGCAGAAGGGCGAGGCTGGGTCATTCCAGTCTTCAATTACTTTTGACACGAGTAAAGCCTCACAGTTTGTGTCAAGTTCACGTGGTTGTATTTTCAAATTCAGCCTTTTGATGTTCCAGGTCTTGATGAGACTTGGTGTTTTTTCCAAACTCCGGGTAGGTCATTGATTGCAGTCGTTTCTGTCCCATGGTTTTTTTTTTTTTTTTTTTTTTTTTTTTTTTTTTTTTTTTTTTTTTTTTTTTTTTTTTTTTTTTTTTTTTTTTCTCCAGATAATTTGAACATGATTGCCACTCTGAGGGCATAAGGTTGAAGACAGTGCTCAAAGGTATTTCCCATCCGATGCAGCGTGTTTTTCTCCGCTTGCGGGCTACGCAATGGGGAGGCAACATTTCCTTTGCTGGTGTGTATAGGAGTCGCAGGAGCGTTCTGCGACATGTGGGCAATTTTCCAGAGGCAAAGAGGCATTTGACAAAAAAGGGACATGTGTACACATGGCCGGATCTGGCACATGCAGTTCAGTATAATGCAAGGGGAATGCCACCGGCAACAACTGAGCTGCCGTCGCCAGAGGACATGAAGTTGGTCTCAGAGACCTTGAGCATAGCGAACATGGTGAAAGCTTTTCGCAACAGGGGCCACTTCATGGCTACACTCGGTAAGTTGGAAGCTGTCCATCGGGGAAAACATTCAAACTGTGAATCACAAGCTTCAACAGAAATCCACATTTTGTACGAAAAGACAAGCGTCCATAGTCCATTACACCAAAGAGGATCTCCCAAAGTCAGAAGTTGGCGGACAAGGCATAGGAAAGAGGGAGAAGCTAAGGGGAATTGTGGGCAAGTTAAAACTGCGGCTTCAAAGTTTTATCCTTCCCAAGGCATATAAGCTACTAAAATATTGTTTCCTAATGAAATCTCTCCACCCAGCGTAGATGATCCATCTGCCAATAATTGCCCTCTCTTTATATAKTCACCTTGTTTTACTATTGGTTTTTGGTGAAGACACGTGTTCTGATTAGATCTTTCGTAATGAATAAACTGAAAAGAAAAGGATTGATTAAGAACTTGCTAAGAGGGTTAAAGTAAAAAACAGGAAAATGGTGGAGAAGATAGGCATTGTACAAGAATTAGCCCTTTTTGATTTGCTGAGAAAAGAGAACCTAGGTAGCAAAGCTGCCAGATGGAGGTAGGTCTCCTCCATCCACGTTCTCTGGGCCGGGCGGGCTCCAGGCAACCTGTCTGGAAATCCGGACCAGTCAGAGAAGGCAAAGAGGCATCTCTTTTTTTGCAGTCTAGGATCCGTATGGTTATTTTGTGGGTGTTGGATGAGGCCGAGGTCCAAAGTCATGTCCACAAAGTCTGTGGGGGCTTCAATTGGGTTCTGAAGGGGCAATAAATGGGGCTAAAAGGGGGCTTCAAGTGGTTTGAACTTTGAAGGGACATATTGTGCCAAGCAATCCGTGAATTTATTTTTCACTTGTAATTTCTTCCCCTCCCTGCACCCCTGTCAAAAGGGGGTAGGGCCTAACAGTATTATTATATACTACATTCATATGACTCCATGAGGATTCTAATTTCTAACTCATGAGCTGTTTACTAACAGTCGTGTGTGTGTACCATCCAGCTTCATGGGCTGGGTATTTACTATTTACTGTGTTTCCTTTTTCGCAAGAAATTTTGCGGTGACCCTCAGCCAAAAGTTGTTTCACTTTATCGCAACTGTCAAATTCCAGATTTTATTTGAAATCTGCCCAGCTGTCCAGGCAAGATGTTTGGATCTGGGCTGGAGAGGTCAGGGCCTGCAAGACGTCTGACCCAACTACCTAGTAGAAAAGAGCAGAGAACTTTTGTGAAGTTTTTTCCTCACAGAATGACTTCCCTGTAGGAGAAGGTGCAGTAATTTGAAAGCCTAACAGACACAAATGAGATCCTTTTGGAAAGCAATGGACCCTTCATACACGCTCTCCTCCTCTCCTCTTGGTGTTGCCCTCCGAACCCTGCTCCTTCTCTCCCTCAATGTCCTTATGATGCTGGCCAGCCCCGCTTCACCTTGCAGAATCCAGTTTTTGAGAAAATGACTGATTTCTCTGGGAGCACAGTTGGTTGGCAAACCAAGAGGTTAGTTGTGGTTTACCAACCAAGCCTACCCTCTTCATCTGAATACAACACCCGGTCATTAGACTGGTATTTAGGGCAACTTTCAGTCTAGATAAGGTGATAATGACAGGGCGTTCTATTCGTGTGAAGACCGCAGCGGGTGAGTGTGAGATGTCTGGTTCGGTTCCGTGCAGGGTTGATCCAAAAGGAAGTTCCGAACAGTGCTTCTGCGTGGTAACGAGCTGGGAAATTGTACCTGGACCAGGTGCCTATGTGCTAAGGGCTATGCCCTGTAGTGGGCTGGATATAGCTACTGCTATGGTGTCACTTTTGACCACCATGTCACGGGTTGCAGTGGTTAAGGCGTCTGGCTGCTGAGCCCAAGACCGCCGATTCGATTACCTGAATGGTCGACGCAAAAGCAAGTGCTGCTGCGTGGTAACTAGCCTGGAAATTATACCTGGACCAGGTGGCTACGGGCTAAGGGGTATGCCCTGTAGGAGGGTATCGGGAGATGCCGTCTAGGGAGTAAGTGTGTGTTCATATCTCCGTCGGTATGGCTCTGCTTCTAAACACCACGTCACAGTTGCAGTGGTTGAGGTGTCTTGACTATTGAGCCCGAGATCGCTGGTTCAATTCCTTGCCGGGTGAAACAGTGCCTCCGCTCGGAAATTGTACCCGAACCAGGTGGCTTCATGCCAAGGGTTATACCATATAGGAGGCTCTCAGATGATGCCGTATGGGGAGTGTGTTCAAACTGCAACCCTGTAGGGGTGGGGTGGATATCAGTATCCACTTTTGAACACCGTGTCACTTGCAGTGGTTAAGGCATCTGGATGTTGAGACTGAGATCACCAGTTTGATTTCTGGGCTGATTCAAAAGCAAGTACAAAACAAGCCTAGCCTTGACCAAGGTATGTATTGGATAAACACAGGTTAGTTGTGATTCATCAACCGGTGAATGGCTTATTGACTGTTCTCCCTGTGGTTTATCAGCCAAGCCTCTACCAAGGTATGTAATGGATGCCCCCAGGTAAGTTGTGGTTTATTAACCAAGGAATCGCTGATTCATTGCTCTAGCCTGTGGTTTATGAACCAAGCCTTTACCAAGGTATGTGTTGGATGACCACAGGTTAGATGTGGTTTTATACCCCCAGTCAAGTTGTAGTTCATTAACCAAGGAATGCCTGATTGATTGCTCTAGCCTGTCGTTTTGAACCAAGCCTTTACCAAGGTATGTGTTGGCTGACCACAGGTTTGATGTGGTTTATCCACAAAGAAATGGCCGATTGAATGTTTTGACCTGTGGTTTGATGGATAGCTGATTGTTTTGAATGATATTGTGAAAACAATATATGGATTCTCTTTTGAGAGCATTGCTTTGTGGATTTGTGCGTCAACAGATCCCTTGGGACGGACATTGGGTCCATTATTCGAGTTCAATGAGAAGAATCGACCATCTGAGCCCCAGGAAGCTACAGACCTGTTCAAACTACTGCGCAACTACCCTGAACTGGATTTTTCTGCTATTGGCCTAGAAGGAGTAGATCCAAAAAAAAGGTGAGAGGATGGTAGAAAACCGGAAACAAATCAATGAATATACGTGATCACCAGGTTAGCATTTGCCATGCTCTTTGCCTCTTCCCTGGGCAGAGGATTATGAAGCATGTTTTTATGTCTTCCTTCAGGATACATTTCTGCGTGCCTTTCTTCAAGGATGCATCTTTGCTGTCCGTGTATGATGATGGTGCTCATGCGAATGAATTGCAAATCTGTCAACGAAACCAAAAGAGCATTTGACTGCATCAATGTGTGAAAATCAAGGAGCATATCACTTGAAGACAAAATTGCACGATTTTCCATAACATCTGATGGTGGCAGTCTTCTCATCCGGTATGATGATGATGAAAGCCTTTTTCACATTCCATGATTGCTGCATCAGACACTTCTCCTCGTCTTCTTCCTCTTCCTCTTCGTCGTTGTTGTCGTCATCATCATCATCTCCTTCTTCTTTGTCATCATTGTCTTGGTCTTACTCTTCTTCCTCCTCCTTGTCCTCGTCCACCGCCGCCTCCTACTTCTCCTTTCCCTTTTGTCAGATTCATCCATGTGTAGGATCAGCGAGGAGGTATTTCTCTATGTATGTTCTTTCTCTCCGGTTTCTGCATGCTTCGCATTACTTTCTGCTAGTGTGTGTGTGTGTGTGTGTGTGTCAGAGATGAGCACCGGGTACCCAGACCCGCACCCACCTGTACCCACCCCACCCACGAGGACATTGGGTCAGGTGCGGGTGTTGATAAGGTGACCTGGGTGGGATGAGGGTGGGTCAAGGCCAGGCAGCCTGGGTGGGTGACAGGTGGGTCAACATTAGGCCTGGGTCACCCGACCCACAGACCTAGGACAACCCATGAGGACCCCCTCCGCCCCCCACCTCCCCCAATCCCTGCACGAAATGTCCACCCGCCTAAAAAAGTCGAAGGTGCACGCACGAAATGTCAAGTCCCGCCGTCGGCCTGCCTGGAAAAAAAAAGGTCGAGGTCCTCCTGAAAAAAAAGAAGCAGGAACCTTCTTTCAATTTTTTTGCACGCTGCTCTAGCCTCTTGGCGGCTGCACCACGGCCCACGTTTGGATGAGTTACCACTTTCAAACGGGATGCTGAGTTTCGCTCCCATTAAAACAACAAACGGCGAAACTAACCACAACAGGTGGCAAGGTTCACTCCCCACTTTTGAACTTCTGGAGCGCTTTGAATTTTGGCGCCGTCATCCAGCGACGGCACAACTTGTGCATGGTCCAGCAGCAGGGAGGAGGTGGCGGGGCGGTGAGGAGGGGGGCAACGCACCGACGGCCTGGGGAGCAACAGCGAGGTCGCGAGCCACGCACTGACGGCATGGGGAGCCACACACTGGTGGCCTGGGGAGCAACAGCCTGCTACGAGTGAGCAGCAGGAGAGAGAGAGAGAGAGAGAGAGAGAGAGAGAGAGAGAGAGAGAGAGAGAGAGAGAGAGAGAGAGAGAGAGAG